AAAACAGAAGGGTGTCTTATTCTGTTTTCTTCATTGCATCGCATGCATCTTACCAATTTATCACCACGAACTAATTGGAAATGACGGAGGCGGGGCTAGAATACAGTCCTCCCACCGCCCTCATTTGATTCACACAAGACAAGTGCATTTTTCTTTTTCACTCAAGCTGCTTTGACGAGCAGTTTGCAACATATTTCATCAATAAATGAAGGCCAAACCTCCAAGTCACTCTCTGTCTTATCATTATGTTTTAATAGGCTCATCATGTGACCACATATCCTGTCAATAATCATCAAAAACTTCACCACTATAACATAATACACAAGTGACATGTGAAACAGGTGGGCAGTACAGCAGGATTAACATTAAATATGCATATATTTCAGATACAGTGCTTCATAAGTCATGAGACATCCAATAAAAACTATTTATCTCTCTGATTAACTTCAAACGGACTTCAGAGACACACGATGAGTCGGAGCACACCGACACCAAAGAGATTTTTACACCATGTTTTGTAATTAATTAGCAAGCAATGGTGACGTATTTCTCTGCTTGACTTTGCATTTGTGCCATCTGAAATGGTAAAGAATTCTAATCTGAAAAAACTTTACGCTTTTTCTGTCTTTGCTCCTCTTTTATCTCTCCTCACCCGCTCTTCGCTCTCTGTGAGTCTGAGAACCTCTAATAGTTGTTTGTTTGCTGACCCCTGGCGATCTGAATCCTGCTGGGATGTGTGTGTGCGTGCGTGTGTATGTATGTACTCTCTCAGCGTTTATCACTCATTACTTACATACAGCCTTCAAGGCCTGTAATTAACTTCAGCTTTGATGCCCCCCACCTGCTCGCTTCCTCCACACACACGCGCGCATGCACAGCCCAAGGCAAAGATCGGTCTCAGAGATGTGAAGTGTGTTTTCCTGTTTTCACTAAAACACTTTACAATTAGTCTCACAGCATGACTGAGTATTGGAGAATGTGTGTGAATCTCATTGCAAGAACAGAGATGTTTTTTATGTTTGAATGCATGTTTGTGTGTGTGTGTGTGTGTGTGTCTGTGTGTGTCTGTGTGTTCTACAACACCAACATAACTTGCAGATCTCTCACTGATATGAAGTCAATAGAAAATGTGCAACAGACATTCTGACACTCGGCTGATGAGTGTCGGCCACAAGCCAAGCAGATGTAGCCATGACACCTATTCAATATTTCAAAAACATGATCATACGTTTCACAATTTGGCCTCTGTCTTATTTCATAACACACACACACACACACCGTTGTTCACCCCAAGCACAAAGAAAAATAATGGAATTCAGTGGAGGGACACTAATTTGTTATTGATTTTCATTGTTATGACTTTATCTTCCTGTGTGAGAGGGTAAATATGTTATTTTGAGATATTGAATAAATGTCATAGTTATAATGTTAAAGCTTGTTGCCAGCGGCCCTAAAACCATGTGTGTATGTGTGTGACATACCTTAAGCTGTAGGTACGTGGACATTAAAATCATAAAGCAAGATATGAGCCTGCCTTTTCTCTACTTTAGCAACATTAAACACCTTGTGAAATCATTCTGCCATCATTTGGTAGGTGCAAAAGCCAATAAATCAAATACTCTGACATAAAAATGATAAAAAAATTTTTAAAAAAGCCGGTATCTGTGGCTAAAAGCATGGCCAGGCAGGCAATAATTTCATTCTTTGATTGGCTGTTCTACCTGCCTACTTACCTACCTGTGCGCACTCTGCCAGTGCGCACTTGTAGGTCCGTGCACTCACTGCGCATGAAAATGTGCTTTAGGGGAGTAGCTTTGTAGGGAGGCCTGAAGGGTGGGATTTTTTTGGTTGGATATTTTCAAAATCTAGCTGTCGCTTGCTAGTTTCTCCAACGTCAACTACCCCAGCTTTAAATTTTACTGCCCTTTTTTAGTATGTTAGTATACAAATATTTGCTAATTAGCAATAAGGCTGATGGAAAAGTCCTTTGTTTTGCAGGTATTTGGTCATAAAACAAAGTTCACCAAAGAGTTTACATTTCATCTCGAGGGGGGCTTTAATGTGTGTAGCCAGTTCTGTGGCAATCCATCCAACAGTTGTCGAGATATTATAGTCTGGTCCAAAGTGGTGGACCGACTGACACACACACTGTCATCTCTGGAGCTACGCCACTAGCGTGGCTGAGAGTGACATAAAAACAATCATAAAAGTTACAATCAGATAGATCTGGGGTAAGTCAACCAAACAATAGCTTGTTTTTGTGGGTAGAATAATCATTTGCAACAATGGACATCTTTATGTCAGCCCTACCAACATGCTGCTGTTCCAATAATGTGGGAAGCACTTTTATAAACCATATCACCACAAGGACATCATGACTACTAGGCATCATAGTAATAATTTTATGTGTAAACCCAAGTGCATGTCTGCTGAATGATGCATGTCTATCTTGCCTCACACTTACATAAAATAAGCAATACTGCCCTTTTTCTACTAATTCTCTACATTTACATCCCTGCAGGACATTTGTTAGCTATTCTTTAGCCAAAATGACTAAGCTCACAGGGGGTGAAACACCTTCAAAGGTAAATAATTATTAACTTTATCTTTATCTGTGAATAAAGTGGATGTTCTTCAGAGCAACATTAAGTGATCACTGGCTGTTTAACAATTACAAACGGTACTTTGGAATCACAAACATGCTTTTTGTCCGCTGAGACAAATGTAGTACAAACCCAATGAAGGGAGCTAGAATGGACTGTATGGACCTTACACTTCTAGATACCCAGCTGCATGCAAAATGAGATTAGTGGGTTGAGGCATGCTTGTTTTTGATGAAGCTGTAACCAGCAAATGTTTAGTATCTTTCCTTGATACATTTAACTGAAACTGTTTAGGTACTACACATACACCTACACATTTATCATTTGAAAAGTCCATCCTTTTCGAGACTTCTATGTAGATTTTTTAGACCATATTTGAAATCTGAGTACAAAGTGCTAGATGTTCATTGTGGAAATAAATGGTTTTAAAATCCAACTATTAACATGTATGTTACATTCTGACTATGTATGCTATTGTGTTGCCAAATAATTGCCAGAAGATTGTAGCAAGGTACTGTAGCTTATACAAATCAATTACCACCAAACCACTGTGTCTGTTCAGTCCACACTCCTACGCAGAAAGCTGGACGGCCACTGTCAACTGGTGCTACCTATACTTAGTGTTATTTTCCCTCAACATATTGAATAAATAATATTGTGTTATCAAATTCCATACTTTTCTATACTACTGTGAAGGAAACACACACATATGTATACACATGCATGTATGTGTCAAATATACAGAACAGTCTCTCCTTATTATAGCATATCTGTCTCTCTCTCGCTCAGCTTTCTTACTGTGAATCCATTTTTCAGTATCCACACCTAACAGCATCTGATTATCATTTTCACCAAAGGAAAGATGCCTAATAGCGCAGTCCTCTGATATTGTATATTATCAGATATCGTAGTGCATATATCTTAACTTTTGAGCTTGTATTGATCTTTTCTCAATGCTTAGACTGCACAGGATCACACAGTGTAAGAAGTGAAGGGATAATCATTTCTAATGGAGTAAGAGGAGACATTTAAAAATGTGCAGTTGCTGCTGAACTGATCATGCTCTCTCTAAAGAAAACTTTACCTTCATCTGGAAATCAAAACTGGACATGAGCTACATCTTTATATTCTCCCAGAGGTGATGTGCATTAACTGCTCTCATTAATCATCTACCATTTGCTACTGAGGCTCATATACATACTGTATTATAGCCCACAGTAATTTACCCTTCATTCACCTTGCAGTGCCTGCACCAGAAATCAGCACATCACACTGTAACATGTCTCTCTCCTAACCATTCTCATTAAATCCACATGCAGTACATCTGTTTAGCTTGATGAAGTGAAACCCACTTGAAACCCACACTGCAGTAGAGGAAACTCAGGCTGCCATTCAAATCTCTGTATTATTTAATGCGATATAAAACCAATAACCATTAACCTAGTGTTCACCCCACTCTATGTGTATTGTGTAGTGTATTCCAAATATCACCTGAATATGCGTACAAGTACAGTACTGGCAACAACACAAGAAGACTAGACCTTTTTGACAGAGAACACCTCTTGCGCAAGATAATGCCCTACATATCAGATAATAAAGCAAAACCAACTTTAATGCCCGTATCATGTGAAATTGTGTTTTAATTAGAAGTGCATATTCCCATATACCCCAAAAATGTGACAATTAATCACATTACCAAAATTCAAGTGATGTGGCAGTTTTGGCCAACTACTGCTACTTCTATGGTAAAATAAAGTACTTAAATACAGCACAGCAGTAATGTTTCCTAACCTACATCCATATTAACATTGATGACAATAATTAATGAGCCATTTTTCACCACAACCCACCTGCCATCCATGTCTGTGCAGAAGAAACTGTTCACAGTACCGTCTACAGGTTGCCAGGTGTGATAATCATCATATTTACATCGATATTTAACTGTTATATTTGTGTAATTGTTATTTTGTCAGCTCTGCTTTATGGAGGACAGATTTTAACACAAAATTATCTGCACACTATTTTTGCCTTCTTACTACCTCTGAAACCAGATGACCAAGTGACAGAGCCAAGGTGCCATCTAGTGACGAGTTGATGAACTTAGTTGCATCAACCAATGTACATTTGAAGTAGCTAATAATTAAGATTCAGAAACCCCTTTGCTGCACACAAACGTAGCAGTATATACCAGACAGTACGTATGGTTAACACACAAACTGACAAAAAATTGAGAACGAAAATATCAATGAATGAATGTGAATTGTATCTACTTTATCTACTCAGAGTGCTGACACGAGCTAGAAATATGTCCGCATCCACCCACACTGCACCTGAGCTACACAGAATATTAAACTAAAAGCAGGACGCTAGTACTGTAGAGGACCGTGTCTGTCTCACCGTGTGAAGCAGTGGTGGCAGACATCTCTGGCCAATTTGTTGGACACGCAGCACGCCAGCGGCTCGGCAGAGTACACCAGCTCTCCCTTCTTGTTCCTGGCTGTCGCCCGCAGACCGTTGCCTTTTCCCGGGCTGACAAAACGCTCCAGCTTCGAGGCCATAGTCGGTTTTCCCTCCACGTGAACCGAGCAGTGTTTACATCCGTAACAGACGCACACGTTGCGTCATGGCGTCACAAGCACGTACACGTCAACTTTTCCTGCCGCTCTTTCCTATTATCAAAGTACTTACACTGATAGGGAATTTCTGCCCATGAATAAATAATTAAGGACATTAATATTAAAGATTGAAAGTGCTTGAATAAGGTTTTAAGAAATCATCCTTGATAAAATAAAATAAAAAGTGTGGTTACAGCCAGAGTGTACATTAATATCTAACCAACACAGCAAAAGAAACACAAAAATATTCTTTACAAAATATATCCTGTCGCTTTCTAAGTTTTTGACGCTGACTATATTTTGGCTTTTTGGAAGACAGAAGAGTCATTTATACTTTCTATACACTTGTTATATAATAAAAAAAGTTATATAACTATGAATTTTCACTAAAGGAAAGGTTTACACCAAAATTCAGCTACATCCAGTAGATAATAATGTAATATGCAATCCTCAAAACAATATGAATAATTTTGTAATATTGCCGGGCAAATTCCACATACATAAATCGACATTTAAGTCTTTTCTTTTCTTTTCTGAATGATCTCATTACAGGAGTTTCAATAATTAATTATTTTGGACATACACTCTATTAGGTACACCTAGCTAAACCTAATGTAGTCTACAGTTTGTGGTCTAATACAAAAGTTGTACAATGAATCCTCCCTCCATGACAATCATAATGTTCAGTTTCTGTTGAAACTGTTTCAGGGAGGTATTGATTCTGGAGGGTTCAGTTTCTGGATCTGTTAAACTGTATTGTATTATACACACAGGTATTTCTAATATGTTGTCAATCACATTTACATCAATGAGGGTAGGTTAAATAGCACACACTTTTTAACAAAAGAACTCTGAGATTGTGAATATTACTTTGTTATAAATGCCCTTTATTTATGTTATGTTCAATAACAACATATATTTCAGCAATTCAATTACATGACTACATTGATATCTTACATAATACATTGTACTATTACTATCTATAAAATATGACGACCATATTACTACCATACTATATTGTACTATTAGTATCTATTTAATATTACTACCATATTATCTACCTATCTACACAAGATTTGCATTTGCAACAGTTTTGTCAGATTAAGCTTGCTGAACTACTGTAAAACACAAAATATATACACCATATATGTCAAATAATCATTTTCACAAAAAGCCAATGGGATACCACAATTTTTTGGCACTGGAGAAATCAAAGTCAAAGTATTTAATTGATGCCTGGTTACTGTAATGTAGTCTCAGAGTGATTACATTGCTGGTGTGGTATGAAGGGACTCAGTAGCCTGAATAGAGCTGCTGGAATGGCCCTCGTCATTCTGGATGTGCCCCTGGATATCACTGTCACTTGTGCTACTCAGACAAAAGACAACCCAGCCATCAGTGGTGTGATACAAACAGTGAAAACTCCAAAGTATAATGTAGGGCAATCTCCAGCTGCTGCCATAACATCTATGTCTGATGTCCACTGGGTCTGGTTTACATTAGCTGTAAGATGTCTTAAAACCTCGCTTTTGTTTATCCACCTTGTGTTTTTTTCAAGTCTGACAAATGCTGGAGACCCACACATTCTGCACAAATGTACTGAGTAAAAATGAAATTGCAAAAATCCTGAGGCATCTAGAATATCACCTTGTCCTGTCCTGATCTTGCCTCTCCATTTCTTCCAGTTCCTTTCTGGACAGCTGGTCTACCAGTGCCACACCGATGCAGTCTCCCAAAACATTAACAACAGTGTTGCAGCGATCTCTGAAAGACATAAATCACATTCAACTATGAAAGCAGATATGTGATTTCCTCACAATTGACTACCAGACGCAGAAAAGGCAGCTGTAATTCCTTACAAAACTATTCATTAGAGATTTTGTGTGAATGTCAGACTTCAAACTACAGGTCCAACTCACAGCAGCCAATGTACAAACACCAAGGTGGAAGCGTCCTTCGCAGGTAAGGTGTTTGCAGTTAGAACAAAGAAGGTGGTCACCACTCCTGTCACTGAGATCTGTGCTGCACCTATGCTGGAGACAGCTGCTGTCAGTCTGCAAACACACAAACTCTTCAGTGAACGACTAAAGTGGATATTTAAAAAGACACAGAAATATAAAACTCTACCACGTATTTTTAAGTCACTACTTAAATCTTAAATGTCTTATATAATGAACTTTTAACTTACATTTATACAGACATTATTATTTATATGATTTTCTACTGAACAGAGTGAGTGTCAAAGTAATCTGACTGAGACTTACACAAGGAGGATTAACTCGCTCAAGTCTAGATGGACGTTGCTGAGTTGGGAAACAAAAACCGCTGCGACCACCTCATAAATGGTCGTTCCGTCCAAGTTGGCGTTGGTCCCAATGGGCAGCATGAAGCGAGAGATTGTGTGGTCTATGTTCCTGGCCTCACAGCATCGGAAAGTGAGTGGCAGCGTGGCAGAACTTGGGGACACAATGCATCCTTCCTTAGTGACACTAATCATTTAAATTAAATCATAAAGTATAATCCCTTGGTGATAGATATAAAAATAAGCGCTGGTGATGAACGCACAGAGCTAATAACAAAGAACCAACCCCTTAAAAATCATCTTACCTGGACGAGGTGAGCAATGCAGCCAGTAAGGCAGGAGAAACTCCTTTAATCACTGACCATGGGTTACGTCTCACCAACAGAAGATAGAGTGTTGGTAGAACTATTACTCCGTGGATTGCGAGCCTGTAACACAATTTAATACACAATAGATTTTTGGGGGGCAGGCCACCCTTTTGGTTTACATCCGCATCAGGGATCGTGATAGATGATCTCATAACTTCGCGAGTGAATATACTGGCCCATAACTCCTGCTCTCATGCAAAGTATTTGAAATTTTGTTGGCTGGTATCAGAAACACTCTGTCCCCATATGCCTTGAGAGTCAGTACACCAAAACAGTATTGTCAGAGATATTAAGCATATCAACGTGTCACTATGAGGGTCGGAAATGCTGCTAAATGTACAAACAAATTGGTATTTTGGTAGCAGTGCTAACTGAGGAAAGGAGAACATACCCAACAACAACCACAGCCAGGAACTTTCCAAGTTTGTAGGTAGTTTCCCAGACCTGAACCTCAACAATATGGCTTACAATCATGAACATCAGTCCTAATGGAAAGTAGCTGGAGAGAATACAAGAAAATTAAAAAAGAAAGGGAATCATTTAATGACTTATCAAACATTTGGGATTGTCTGATACCTATTACAATATTACTCCAAAAGAAACCAAAAGGAAAAATCTGACATGATTAGGAATAAATATAATTATAAATATAATAATTAGTTAAAATACTTTAAAAACACAAGCAAGATTAACGAAGGGTAGAAGAGTGAAAGCTACTGCGATGTTTTCTCAGTAAGACAATTTTGCTGTTGTAATATACACCTCTCCAAGTCAGTGTCCATGTATAACACTCACACAACACTGCAGGATATTTGCTCTATTTATGTATATAGATTAAATATTGACATATGGAATTCTCTTATTCCACATTTATATCAATTATGCCGTTTCACTGTACCACAAAATCAGGTCAACCACATATTTTGTGTTCTCGTTGAGGATGGTAAGGATGTCCACGAGGATTTTCCCTCTTTGTCCCATCCTCTTGAGGATCAGTCCGAAAAAAAAGGAGCACACAGTCAGGCCCAGCACGTTGGTTTCGTCTATAAAGTGACCCACCTCTCGCACATCAGTGGCATTCTGAGACAAGACAGGAAACTCATTAATGACAGAGGTTCGAGAGCAATTTCATGTTCAGATTATGAATTATCACTGCAGATCTAAACTTAAATAATTTTCATAATGATAAGGGGGAACGGTTTTACCGTTTCCAGGCTAGAATTTGGCTCTTCTATGTTTATTTCAAACTCCAGCTTCTCAGTCTTGTACTAAGAAAAAAAAAGGATCACATTCTCACATAAATATTACATCGTCTCCATCATGGAAAGCTTGGAAATGTGTGGTATATGGCATACCTGAATAAAAAACCTACCTTTTGTAAGCAACACCGAACCAGATTCTGTGGCACTATGTTTCTATAAAGAATAAAGAATAGTCAAACAATACCATCTACCATCATACCACCTAATCTCAGATATAATGACACTTTCTTCTCACCTTACTAGATCAAACAAGGTGTCAGAATTGATGAACTCTTCCTCATCATCTGTCTCAACAGTGTAAGCAACCCCAGGCTTAACGAGCAATACTAATGTTAATCCTACAACACATAAAATACATAAAAAATGACTTTCATGCTAAAGCTGTTCTATAGGGGCTGATAATTAATGGAAACAATTATTTCAATAGTGCTCCACCTATACAACATGGTATAAATGTTGCAGTGTTTATATAGGCCTAGTTTTCACGTATTCTTATTTTTTAACTGCAAGTTCTACTTTTATTAATATTATTGTTTCTATATTTTTTCACTTATCTGTATATATTATGAAATAGCACATGTACATGTTTTTATTTCACACATGCTTTGGCAATCTAAAAATCTGTTTCCCCTGCCAGGATGCCAAGATTAGGGACACAACTGTAAATGCTACACATGATTTTGCTTAGATTTTTTATTAAAAATCTTGTATGTTATTCACTTTTGCATTCAATAGGAAAACTTTAAAAAATTCTTTTAGAAATGAGGAAACACATGATGTAGTGCAAGCCAGATCTGCTGTGAGAACTGCTGTTGGGTTAACCAAAATAAGCTGGCACAAAACTTTTTCTGCTAAATACTATTAGCAATTATACCATAAAATATACCAGAGCTTGAGCATTATCATTAATGATCAAGTCTTCTTGTCTCTGTGTTTTATAGTTGCTCTGTGACCTTTTGTAACCAAAAATAAACTCAGTATTGAATTTCATGATAATTAATATGCATAAAATATAGAAAATATATCTCTCTTACCTACAGCCCCAGACATAAGGGTCGTCA